CTGATGTCAGTTAACTAATTAAACGGAAACCTGCTGGTTCTGTAAGGCTTCAGACTTGATCAAACTTGGGGTTTCAATTTACAATAGAAGTGAACGGAACAAATTAAACGAATGATGCATCGCCTTTAAAGAGTGAAAACAATTCTCAAATCAAAACTGGCCAATATGATTAAAAAAATGTTGATTGACTAGAGGTGTAGACCACTTAGTGTGTCAGTATTGTAGTAAATTACAGTACAACATATAGGTAAAATAACAATCACCTTGCGCTATAAACTAGAAACAACCACAAAAAAGTAAACCGATTCGTAAGGATTTAACATTTTGGAGGGATTCTTAAAATTATGATGGTCAATTTATCACAGTGTTTTTTAAACCATACATATCAATGTAATATAAAACAATTGAAAGCTTACGCATCAAGTATCTAACCCATCCAATATACAGTTTAATTTTATTTAATAACGAGGTGTTAGTCCGTCCTACGTACGGGAGTGGTCAGTTAAAACGGTGTAGGCCAATAATTCAAAACAGCTAGTTTACACGTATAAAGACAAATTTTATTGCAGCCTACATTAGAAAGAGTAATTATCAATTGAGAAGTGTATAGGCCTAGTCAATGATATCACCTTCCATCGCATACCTACCTCTTCCATAATCAATATCACCACAATACAATTACTCATACTATACACAATTTCCAGTAGGTCTGAATAGAAACTCCCTAAGGGGGGAGGGAGTTTCTCCCTAAAATAAAACGAAAACATCCAATAAAATTCACAGTACACATAATTATAACGTTGGTGCCCTGACATCATTAAACGAATCGTCCACACACGTTCTTTATGTCAATTTCACTGCATCAATTGCTAAATAAATAAGTGTAAACAAAGAAAAGTAAACACAACAACATATTAGTTTGTTTTGTAAACAGCTGAGTCAAAAAAATATTCATTTGAACAAAAGAACTGGTCACATGTTGAAAAAATTTAAAAAGTAAAAACGCTAGTAAAGCTAGTGACGTAATTAATTGTCTATGTTTATTGTCCATTCCGTTATCAGTTCCAATATCCTTGATAATTAAACCACCCCCATTGAATCAATGTACATCGTAATTCCCCTTATTCATTTATTTAAACTATAAAATATTCAGCGCCTCCAAACGTAACCACAACTAAACACACGCTAAACAACTTTTTTAGATTTCATAAAAGGATGGTTAGTCTAATTGCAGTATCCTAGGTCAATGATGACGTTGTGTTCAATCTATGTCATTCATCTGTATATCTTTGGATAACACCCGTCTGAGGTTGTGGTGGTAATTTAAAATCGCATTCCTGAGGATTCTTGATCTCCATCTTTATGACATCAATATTTCCAGGCCTAATCCAAACAAAGTTCAAGCATTCAAAAACATTGATTGGAAACAAAAAGCTGTCAAGATGAATTAAAACATGTAAAAATTGTGATTTTCCTACCCTTTCCAAAAAAGTTGAGCAGTAAAATAATTTGCATATCTTTTTTATTTAACTCGTGTAGGCCTACACAGCCTCGACTTGTACACATCGATGGTGTTACTTATCTCGGTGGTCGACTAATCTTACTTATTTCCTATAATCAATGACACAATCAGAGTAAATAACCTCATAGTTCTATAGGGCATTTTTATAATTAACCAGCTGTTAGTTAAAACAAATTATATTGCACTAAAACAAACCGAACATTACAAAGATTATTTAAAAATATTATTTGAACATCCTAGTATTTTACTATGTATATTTAAATAATCCGTCATCCTCTTATCGAAGGATTGAACCTAAGGGAGTATGTTTTATCTATGATTGAACGTATCAATGATTAGCATTACACATAGTATAAATAAGTCAACCCTTAGTATGTCTTTTAATTTGATCCAAATGCTGAATTTGTGTTACAAACGCTGAATGTTTACAGCTGTTATGTTAAGCAAATTATATTATACCAAAAGCTAGTTTAGAATCTTAGCGTCGGCTGCTAGACTTTTCAAAAATTAAAACTTAATTTCTAAAAAACTGGGACCCTAAACTAAAATTATGGCTTCGACATTCCCTAGTTTTCAAAATTATCTTTCTTTCAACACAAAAATCATGAAAATCCGTCGAGTGGTTGATTCAGAATCGTGAAATAAAAAAAACCCACTTTCGTTTTAATATTATAGATTTAATATAAATAATTTAATACAGTTTTTTTTTATAAATTTCCGAACTCTTAGCTAATTGTTTTGAACCCAGGTTTGAAATTATCGAGTGTATATTGAAATAGCCTACCTTAATTGTTCATTATAACCATCAAGGGTTGCTTACAAAACCTAGTTGTCCCAAGATTAATCTTGTAACGGCTTCTGCTCCCTTAACTTCATTGCATTGATGAACAATCTCTCATGAGAACAGACCTCATCTCTTGGTGAGGATCAGGACTGCGCCGAAGGATGCATTGCGAAAACACTTGAGATGCTCGTTTTGTGATTATCAGCGTTTTTAGCATTAATAACGCGTACGTCCAGTACGCCGGTGTGAAAAGGCCTTACATTTGTATAACAGTTGTCTGTACCTTATACGTTATTTGTGTGAATAATGACGGACATAAGGGGGACTGTAATAGGGTCTTTGGTGATACCTAACACGGATAAGATAAATTAAGATGGATTAATTGGAATGATTATCCAATTTATTTTTAAAACTACCTTTCCTATTTCCCTGCTAAATTGAATGGAAAAAGAATTGTGGTTTTTTTAGAGTTAAATTCGTTATTTTAAAACATTGGTTCTATTGGTATTGGTATGCCTTGTGTTAAAAACTGTCTTACAATCATTAAGGACCAATATTAAATACAATCGCCACTAAATTTAAACTAATACAAACCCTAAACAGAATATAATGTAGCTGACATCAACGCACCCCAGCGTGGTGTGATTTTATGAAACCTATAAAGAAGCTTAATATTTTATAAAACAAAAATAAATTTGCTTCGAGAATCCTAGTTTAACAGTTCCACAACACATACCGGTAGATTGTTTTTAAGTTATAATCAACAACTAATTGGATTAGTAAATAAGAGAAGGGCTAAGTTCCAATATGACCTGGAGGATACAATGACTTTGGCAGTTTGCCGCTCCACGATGTTCCGAGAAATGCTTTAAACTTGCGCCAACTCAATGAACTTCAATTAGTATTCACCAATCAGCCCATTATGGGTAATAACGGTTTTATTGACTGTATAAATGGTATTTTTTAATTGGTTTGAATTTCTATTGGTTAATCGGTTTATAATTCGAGTATGAATTGCCAAAATTCTACACTCAAGTTATTCCAGAACAAACATGAAACATGTGCAACTCAAACACTTAAAAAATCTTCTCAAAGTTTGCGACTATTTCACTAATAGTTCAGTCCATTTTAGGGAAAAATACAACTCTACCTGGAAATAATTCCCTAAGTGGTGAAACTTTGCAAATGTGTAGTACTAGTACCCAGTCACAACATATAACAATCAACATTCGTGCATGCTGTGCTACGGCTGCCATCTTGGAAAATGGCCGCTGATTTTAAGTTTTTGCCCATATTTCACTAACCATTGGGAATACAGAAATCTTGTTCGAACAAAAGTTAAAGAATACACGGAAATACATCTTAAACGCTTTACACATTTGCCTTATCTCTAACAGTTATTAAAAAAAATTGAAATTAATATAAAAAAAACTGTGTACATTAAACTATTAAAGCATTGTTATGTGATTAAAGGTTAAGGATACAGTTCCAGAAACTGTACATTTTAAATAAAAACGCCCATGTTATTCTTATAGATGGAAAGAAAACTGTTGAGGTTTGCTTGTTTATGGATATATTTTGTTCAAATCTGGCTAATTGAGCGAAGCGAGCGGAGCGAGCGTAGCTCACTTTCCCTCACTTTGTAACTTCTTTGTAAGAGCATCAGAATGTAATGGCTTGACCAATTAATATCAAATTTGGCCAACAGCTAAAGAATACTGAGCACAATGTTTTGGTAAAAAAATATTTGCAAATTTCCTTCTGGATTTTATTTTAGGGGTCACGCAATTTCGCTTGTTATTTTAATGTAAGTTGAAAGAAAAAATATATTGGGTTTATGACATATGGGTTTATCTCGTTTTATTTAAATAAGATAAACATATGTTAATTGTTTGTAACGGTTTTGTTTACATTTCAATGTTTACTTTCATCCTAGGTTAAAGTTAGTTTATCAATGGAAGTAACAGTTTTGCTATATTTGTTTTGAGCAAGGGTCAAAGACCACGTCGTAATATTGGTCGTCGCACCAATAATGCAAATATTGTAAGAGAGTGGCGTCGTGAACAAGAAGAACCAGATGAAGCAGTGGCGGAAGAAGCTGATAATGATAGGCATCAATTCCAACATGAATTAGATGCACTACAATTTTATACTTGCACTAACTGTCATTGCCAACAACTAACCAAACCAATCAAACCAATCACCGATTTGTTCGCGTTGTCGTTCAAATGCAACTAAAGTCTAAAGTTAAATAATATAAGTTTAGTAACTAATACTTTTAGTAATAATATAAGAACGCTCAAAGAACCCGGCACTATTCAAGTAGACTAGACTAACCTTGTTAACATATGACGCGGGACTGAGGACGAACATCGGTAGTGGAGACGTGACGTCATCTCCCAATACAGTGCAGCCACCACAACAAACTAAAATATTCCCTTGGCTGCTTCTTGAAGTATTAATAATTATATATATTACACTCGCCCCAAAAATAAAATAAAACTTTTCCTCTGGCTTAGCTCAAAATAGTCCAAGGCCAAGCCAAACATTTTAATTAAAATAAAATAGCTCAACAAAACTTTACTCCAGTCATTTCATTAATAACTCAGGTTAAATTGTCTCTACTAAACCAACTCATAAAACTCTCTTCAAAAATAAACTAAAAATCTTCTAATTTCATTAGGCCTAATTTTACTACAAGTCAAGTTTCTTCGGCTTCCGTACGGTTCTTTGGGATCTTCGAAGTTGTGGTGATGGACTGCACTGTAAGCTGGTCTCCACTACCTCTTGATCCACTGGAGCTGACGGGAAGTCGGGAATGCTCACTCTTTCCGGGGACCTCCTTGGAGTTGGTTGCTTAGGAGGCTCGGAAGCTGGTTGAGGCGACATCCTCATTGGCGACTTGACTGGAGTGGTTTTCACTGGCGATTGTTGCATAGGCCTATTAATCATGATTCCTTCTTCTTCCTCCTCTAACTGGCGATGCCTGAGGTGATCCGCGTGGCAAAACCTTGTTTTTCCCAACACTTTGACTACATATGTGACAGCACTACGTTTCTCCAAGATTCTACCAGGGACCCATGACACTTGTTCTTGTCGCACCGTTTTGACCAGTACATTTTCCCCTTCCACAAAAGACCTAAAACTACCGCAATGTCTGTCAGCGGAATTCTTCTGCATTTCCTTCCTCTTCTCAATCTGTGACATTAAGTGGGGTTTCAACAAAGCCAATTTAGTTCTTGGCTTCCACTGAAGGAAGAGCTCGGCCGGAGACAATCCGGTTACAGTACTGGGTGTATTCCTATATACAAATAAGAAATTATCTAATTTATGCTGCAGTGACACAGCTGTAGAACCTTCCGCCAGGACTTGTCGCTTGAGATTCTTTTTCACTTCTTGCACACATCTTTCCGCAGCTCCGTTCGAGGCTGGGTGGTATGGCGGAGACAATGTGAATTGCACGCCATTATTTCTCAGGAATTCTTTAAACTCGGTGCTTGTAAAATTAGGAGCGTTGTCACTCACTAATTCCTGGGGTAACCCAAACGATGCAAACAACGATCGCAACCTTTCAATGGTTTTAGCAGAAGTGGTCGACTTCATGATAAAGACCTCGAGCCACTTAGAGAAGCTGTCCACAACTATTAACAACTGTTGCCTAGTTTGCGGCTCTTCGGCATAATCTATATGGATTCTTTGCCACCTACATGTACTTAGAGGCCACGGTTGCAACGGAACTTTTGCCACTGCATTTCTGGTGCATTGACACACATGACAAGCTGAAACTGTATCCTCTATACATTTGTCTAAACCAGGCCACCAAACATAGCTCCTAGCCAGCATTTTCATACGGTTGATTCCCGGGTGCTGGTCGTGTAGCAGCCGGATCACCGCATTACGAAGTTTTTCGGGCACAACCACCCTAGCACCCCAAATTACACAATTATTATCCACCGATAATTCTTCCCTCCTTCTATAAAAGTCTAGTAACTCAACATCCTTAACGTCTGGCCAGCCATGCCAGATGAAATCTCGAACCTTAGACAACACAGGATCCTTGTCAGTTAGCCTAGAAATATCCTTAGAGGTAATGGGCGCATCACTCACCAATTCAGAGCAGTTGAATACTTGCACACAGGTGTCTACATGTGACACGTGGTTGGTCTCCAACTCCAGAGTTCGGTCGTCCGGCAGGGGCAGTCTGGATAGTGCATCTGCATGCGGCAAGTCAGCACCGCGTCGAAACTTCACTTCAAAATTATAGGCTGAGAGTATGAGGGCCCATCTCTGAAGTCGTGCGGCGGCAACGCCTGGAACTCCACGCTTGCTTCCGAAGATAGTTACCAAGGGGGCATGGTCTGTCTGTAAAATTACATTCTTTCTTCCATAAATATATTTATGAAATTTCTTGACGCCAAAAATAAGGGCAAGTGCCTCTTTGTGCAACTGTGAGTAATTCTTTTCACTCGAACTTAGCGACTTTGAAGCGAACGCTATTGGCCTTTCAATGCCATCAATGAGGTGTGAGAGAACAGCCCCTACACCTCTGGGACTTGCATCACAAGTCAATATCAAGGGCTTATTTACATCATAATGCACCAGCACATCTGAACTTAAAACCCACAATTTGCTTTGCTGAAACACCTTAGAACAACTATTTGACCACAACCATTACGCATCTTTCCTAAGTAGATCATAAAAGCAGCTGATTTTATCAGACAAATTACAGATAAATTTACCATAGTAATTTACCAATCCCACATAGGCCCTTAACTCTTCTTTATTTGTAGGTTCCGGGGCATCCCGAATAGCTTCTAAAATTCCTTCCTGAGGACTAATACCTTCGGCAGTCAAACAATATCCCAGATATTGTACACTAGATTGTAAAAATCTACATTTATTCTCATTTACCTTAACTCCATACTCGTGTAATCTTTGTAGTACACTTTCCAACCTTGATAAGGCCTCTTCTTTAGTTGACCCTCCAATCAACACATCGTCCAAGTAGGCGACAGTCCCCACCAATCCTCCAATGATCTTATCCATAGCAGCCTGGAATAAAGCAGGAGCAGACGACAAACCGTAGGGTAGACGACGAAGTCGCACAAGTCCTTTGTGCGTAGCCAAGGTTAGGAGTTCTTGAGATTCCTCAGCGACTGACAACTGAAGGTACGCAGCTTCAAGATCTAAGACAGAAAACCATTTACAACCCGCCAAAGAAGCGAAAATGTCTGCGGGTTGTGGTAGCGGGTAATGTTCAGTTTGAATAGCTTGATTAAGAGTCACTTTGAAGTCACCACAAAGACGCACTCCTTGGCTCTTTTGAATTACCACCAAAGGCGTAGCCCAGTCAGCACTGGTTACATGGTATGCTATTCCATCCGCAACCATGCGGTCAAGTTCATCTTCCACTGCCTTCCGCAGCGCATACGGCACTGGCCTATATTTACAAAATTTAGGTATGGTCCCGTCCTTCAACACAATGCGAGCTTTCACATCTTTTATTTCACCTGGACCACCCTTAAATACTGAAACATATTTTTGTTTCAACTGTTCCACAACATCTTGCCCAACCGAACAAGTTAGGTTAGGTGTGTTCATCTTATGAGCATTAGGCCTACCTGTGACCATCTGACCACTAAGTTTATCTACAGGTAAATCAGAGTAATTGCATGAAAATATAGATTTCCAATCTAACTTAACATACTTAAGCCAGTTACGACCTAGTAGCATCGGTTGGTTTTGTCGATTAATTTTCACTATCAAGAGCGGTAAATAATATGACTGACCATTACATACAACCTTTACTTGGGTTTCCCCCATAACCTTCACTTCATTACCAGAGTAAGTAAGTAATTTTATGTCCACTGGACTCAAACTCAAATGTGCAAAATGTTGATCATACAACTCCTGGGGACAAATGGTCAGAGCTGAACCAGTATCTACTTCCATATTAACAGATACATTTTCTATATCTAGTCTTACCTGGTAGCCAGGATTTTTATTACACACTCCAACATTATACAATGATACTTCCTCCATTTGATCAACCAAGCTAGGCCTAGGCCTAGACTCCTCACTTTCCACTTGATGAACTTTGAATTTCCCTTTTGGACGAATTTTAGTAGAACCATCCTTGGAATTACAGGCCTTGCTCAAATGACCTATTTTCTTACAAATGTGGCACTTGTAGTTACTGTAAGGACAAACACTAGCCCTATGATCGGCACTTGTACAGCGGTAACACTGATTTAGGCTAGGCCTATTTGACATTTCACCTTTATTTCCAGGCCATTTATTCTTCGAGTTTACACTGCTATTAAAGTTTCTAACACCTGTTAGAGAATTTTTCCGAACACTGAATTTAGAAACCTCGTGGACAGTTTGGTTCGTGAAAAGACCGGTCTGTTTCTCAGCCTGTTCCAACAGGAGTGCCAAGGCAAAAGTCTTGTTGAAATCTAGTTCTTCAGACAGTAATTTCTGCCGAATTACATCATTATTTAAGCCCGAAATTAGTTTATCCCTCAATGCATCGGATAAAAACGAGTTGAATTTGCATGTACTCGCAAGGTGTTTAATTGCCACAGCAAAATCAGATATGGACTCGGTTGGTTTCTGGCAACGGCTGTAAAACGTGTAACGCTCTGCCACGACAAGTCTTTTAGGCGAAAAATGGTCTTCTAACACTTTAGTTAGTTCGTCAAACGTCTTTTCATCAACTGTTTTGGGAGAAAGCAAGTCCGATAACACTGCTAAAATTTTAGGTCCGATCACTGTAATGAGAATTGAAACCTTCTTCTCGTCTTTCACTTCGTTGGCTTAAAAGAAATGCTTGAGTCGTAAAAGGTAAGATTTTATATCCTCTTCCCCGGGATTAAAATCACTCATACGCCCTATCGACCCACTAGCCATTTTTACCAATTTACATACCGGCGACTGCGCCAATTTAGTAACTAATACTTTTAGTAATAATATAAGAACGCTCAAAGAACCCGGCACTATTCAAGTAGACTAGACTAACCTTGTTAACATATGACGCGGGACTGAGGACGAACATCGGTAGTGGAGACGTGACGTCATCTCCCAATACAGTGCAGCCACCACAACAAACTAAAATATTCCCTTGGCTGCTTCTTGAAGTATTAATAATTATATATATTACAGATGTGTCAAGTGTCCCGAACGAATTAACTGACCTGACGATTGTAGAACAAATGTTGATTGCACGAGTACATCCTGCTATGCCCATTTACAAAGTACAAGCAAATAGTCAGGACTGCCAGTTTCACTACAAAGGTGCAGTATGAACTATCAGATAAATTTGTCATCCTTTAGAACTTAAATAATATCGGGCAAACAAACGGCGAATCTGTTGAATATTGTAAGGTGTTAGCTGCTTTAACCATTGACAATCTTTAAATAATGCTTCGCTCATTTATGCGTCTAAAGTGTAACGGCAGACCACCCTAGTTTATTTGTTTAATCCTAGACTATTAATATCTGATAAAAACGCCGGTTCTCTTCACTATAGCAGCAAACATAGGTACTCGTCAAATCTAATGATACCTATTTGTACAGGTGATAAATGTTTATATTTAATTAGGTGATAAATATTTAAATTGGAATATTTTAGACCAAATCCAATAAGAGAAATTAAAATTCGCTTAGTAGGCAGGTTTGCTGTGGTGGGGGTATTTTTATTGCCATGAGCCTTTTAGAAACAACCCCCACAGTCCATTTTGAAACGTCATACAGCATAATTATAACAGCAAAATATAGATGGTCCAGAATGGGATCAAGATACCTTTATAATATTCACAAAAGGTGTGTGACTATCAGAATTTTTTTAATCCAATAAAACACTTTTTACGAAATAGAATTCAAAAATATGCAAAAGAACGCCTCAACTTATTTATGTAATTATTCAATTCAGTTTTAATTAATTCACTTTCATGTTCACTATGTCTAACATTTATTAATATCACCAACTATTCAAGTACAACATAGCACCACCAATTATTTAGTTGGTGTAATCTTTGAAACAGCTGTTAAGATTCATTAATTCCATTTCTCATAAGGTTAACATGGGAAACTCCAGAGCCTCTGGGGCGGAGCCGATTGGACAGATCACGAAATTGATGGTGTATAAACCTATTCCATGAAATTCTACACGTATGTACCAAGTTTCGTGGCAATCGGTTCAGCGGTGTCTGAGTTTATCACTGCCAAATATATATATATATACCATCCATAATTCATATATAACACACATGCCACATCATAATACTGTTAAATCCGAGTTTATTTCAGGTTTGAAGACGCTCAGTTATGTATTGTAAAATTTACTAATGTAGCTTTAGAATAACATGAGTTACTTTTTACTTACTCTTACTCTTACTCCCAGGGCCATGCATATCTAAGAAGATATTTGGCCGCACCAACAAAGCCTCTCCATCTTGCTCTATCCTCTGCATCCTCCTCAGTTGCTCCTAGTTGCTCCATGTCTTTCTTTACTTGGCTCCACCATTTTTGTTTTGGCCTTCCTCTCGGTCGTCTTCCTTCGGGATTTCTTAGTAAAACTAATTTTAACTTATTTTGCTCCTCTCTTCGTAAAACATGTCCAGCCCATCTAACTCTTCTACACTTAAATTCACACACCACATCTGGATCTCTGTAGAGTTCTCTCAGTTCTCTGTCGTTTCTCTTCCTCCATTCACCACCTTCATAAATTGGTCCATAAATTTTTCTTAAAATCTTATTTTCGAATGTGATTAACTTCTTTTCTTCTTTTTTATTTGGTTTCCATGTTTCAGCTCCGTATAATAATACTGGGCTGATTATTGTCTTATAAATTCTAACTTTGGTGTTTTTAGACAGTAACTTAGAGTTACTTTTTACTCCCATTAATAATATAAAAAGGGTAATGATATAAGAAGAAGAAAGAGTTGGTTAATTTATTGACGACATCTTGTTTTATTCAAACATACAGAATCTACAACTGGGTAGATTGTGCAGAATGAAACAGCCTCAGTGAAGTGGACCTATACAATGGTTGGAGCAGAACATTCATAACTTATCGGAAATATTATGTAAAGTGGAAACTCACAATACACCATTATTTCCTTCAGAAAATTTTTGTAAACGGACGAAGTACTTGAGAGCATGCTTGAAGAGCCAGGTGACTAACCCCAGATTTTGTAAGCTTGGCCATACATTTATTTACTGGCCAATTGTGATCATTAAGGTGCAGAATTCTTTCTAATGTGATATAAAGGTATTTGCACATAAGCTAAAAATAATGCTATGCTCCAATTGACTTGGAGTGGTGTTTGTTTCCATGGACGTTTTGTTTATTCTGAGTTTATGCAAACAGTACACCATTAAAACACTAACTAAACTATTAGTAAAAGAGCAGGATTTAATAGGCTGAATACTTTAACAAAGTCAAGCGTGATCAACTATAGACCAAGTATGATATGGTACTGGTTAAGCATAGAATGAAGTGTTGCCGACGTAGTAGCTAAAATAACGTTTGATTATTTTCAAATACAGATTTTAATTGATTTCATTAATGTATTCTCAGCCGTTTTATATATAAACTAGCTGTAACCCGCGGGCTTTGCCCCGTTTAACTTCTTAATTTTCAAGATGATCTCGTTCGCATGGCTCAATCACGTCCTGGTTGAAGTTCGTTCGCTACGCTCACTCACCTTTAGGTTGGAGCTCGTTACGCTCACTCACCTTTAGGTTAGAGCTCGTTCGCTGCGCTCACTTGCCTTCAGGTTAGCTCGTTCACTACGCTAACTCGCCTCCAGGGGCCCATTTCATAATAAAGTACAAACTAATATTATTAGTAAATCAGCTGATCGCCCAATGCAAATCTAATGGAAATTACAAGTTACAAGTTGTAACTTGTAACTTGTAGTTTATTATGAAATGGGCCCCAGGTTGAAGTTTGTTCGCTATGCTCACTCACCTTTTGGTTGCAGATTAGCTGTTGTCATAATGTAAAAGAAATAATAGTGCTGCACCCTGTTGGTAATCCTTGTAACTTTAATGCTATTGAACATCATAGAACAGAACCAACTTGTTTAATTGAAACAGCTGTTAAGATTCATTAATTCCATTTCTCATAAGGTTAACATGGGAAACTCCAGAGCCTCTGGGGCGGAGCCGATTGGACAGATCACGAAATTGATGGTGTATAAACCTATTCCATGAAATTCTACACGTATGTACCAAGTTTCGTGGCAATCGGTTCAGCGGTGTCTGAGTTTATCACTGCCAAATATATATATATACAAACATCCTCTTTTATACTTATATAATCTGAAGTCATTCAGTAATGTTTCTTCGATCAAGTAACCAGTTTCAAAGAATTAGACAAACTGTATCAGCCATTCATAAATTTGATAGTTGATTATAGGGTATTTTTAAGAACTTTCGTTGTGCTTGAACTATTTATTCACATCTAGCAAATAAATTTTTTTTAGGTGTAATCTTCCATACTAATTACAAGACCGCAGTGAAAATAAACAAAAGAATTGTGTTAGAAAATAATAATTAATCCAATGTCGTATCGAAAGAAAGGTTTTGTTGTGAATTATCACTTGACTAATACTATAGTATTGACTACAATAGTATTAGTACTATAGTAGTTGTATGTTGTAATGAATTGTAATTGTAGAGTTTGACTTCTGGTTTTTAGAGGAAGAAAAACATAATTCTTTGTCGTGATTTTCGAAATAGAAAATATAAATAGGTTGTAGAAAATTACTGTGAAGAGTTTTATCATCGTACTAAAGGTTTCAAGTAATAAACATATAAAGTCTGCTCTTTCATTGTAAAAAGCCTTGAATTTTTTAAGTTGTATTATTTTTGTAAATTTTCAAATACAGAGTAAACAGAAATTCTTTTTAAGAATATCTAAAGAGTCTTGTTCTAGAAATTGCATAAGTCTGTATAATAGATACTTCAATGTTCAATTGCATCAAGCATACAGTAAATATCTTAACCCAATGGAACAAACCACAATTTATCGCCAAAAACTCGATGGACGAATTTGTTTTACTCTGAAATAGCACTTTGTTCAGCACAGTCGGCATACAGCTGATTCTAACTGCAACGTTAGTTCGTTAACACATGAAGATTGATTACATAATCTGCTATGCGTTATTCGGCTCTATTTACAGCGTTCGTGTTTGGTTGCTCCATTTCCTAGCCATTGAATTATTGCGATGCTGTTATTTCACCACATTTTTCAAATGCCATAAATGATGGGATATTTTTATATATATGAATCATAATTAATATGTTTTCTAAAATACACTTTTTAAGGTTCACTTTACTAAACTGAACAAACCTGTTTGTAAATTTATTGCTGTTTAATGCTTTTTATTTGCATTTAACGAAATAAGTAAAAAATGTTAAATAATTTGTTGTGACATAATTACGTTTAATGTATACCTCATACTCATACAACAATACAAGGATGTACTCATGTTGCAAATATGCATTGTAATGTGCGTTACTAAACATTAACCTGTAAGTAAACTGGTTTAAAAGTCTCTATTTTTTTAAACTTAAATACTTATTCAAGATTTTATTGTGCAAAACATTTAGATATTTTACAGGCATGTAGTTAATTTATGTATGATTTATAAATTATTGTAAATTATCAATAATCAATTGAGATGGGGACGTCACCTGGGTGCGTATTTTAACACAAATATGTGTAGAATAAAGTGAGATGATCTGTGTAGCTTTGTAACTGACTACGACCAGTGGATTCGTAAGCCAGGATAATTTATTAGCCCAATGATCAGGAACAGTTGGGTTCAGTTTCGAACCACCAAAAGCCAACCTATTGATGTATAGCCACTCAGCTCCCCAGTCAATCCCTCTTACGTTTGACAGATCTGCTTGAAGAATCATACAGCACGTAAAGCCGTTCTGTATGCAGTGTAAAACCACAGGGACAGTCAGTAGGGCGACAAAACCAAGGCAGTGACGTTGTGGGTTGGACACTCAAAACCAACCTCACATTTTGTAGAAATAAACCAAACAGTGTTACCTTAACCAGCAGCTGCGGCAGGTTGTCAGTTCGTAATCACGCCAAATTCGTAATGTACATGTGTGTTGTCACAGCTGCAATCCCATCCAAGGCTCTAGCTAGGACATAGTCTTAAAGCCACGGTAGGTTCTCAGCCCACTGGAAATTCATGACAACGCACTACGTCCCGGCGTAGGCACTAATACTTTAAGAACCAGTTCATCCCAACGATGTAAAGAACTCCGTTGTTTATATCGTTGGTTCATCCTCGTACTGTACCCTGTACCCTACTCTCTCTCTCTTTGCCAGTAATGAGATAATGGGAGAACAAGGCACGACAACACTAGCAGTCTGTTCAGTGTATCACAGTGGTCTGGACTGTGTCGGCTTACATGGGCTACGACATTAGATATTACGGTAGACGGGTAGACTAACTAGCGTTACAGCTTGCAGCCCTCAGCCCCAACAATCGGTTTCTTACAATGGCCTTGATAATTACTATACAGTTAATATTTTGTGCCCAAAGATCGTATAACTGATGTAAAAGTCAAATGTATGATAAAATATTGATGTTGATATTTACCCGTTTTTTTTTAACAAACACATTATTATGCTCTTCCCAAAATATTATGCATACAACAGTGGGATGTACAACGGCTAAAGAAGTTACTCCAGGTATTTATTAGTTTACGCAGATTGAAATGTCACAAGAAACAATATACAAGAGTCATAAATTGTTGTTCAACATTGAGACTGATGCTCTTCGAGTAAAAAGAAAATAATGTAAAATATTTTCCCCCATTTTTTACTAAATAAGAAAGGATTACAGAATATTTTCATAACTCCGACGAAAGTCCTAACCAGCATGATCGGACGGCAACAGAGGTTTTATCGGGTATAAATGGGATATCTCTATTTTTGATCCTTAAACATAACGGTTTTTTATTTCTTTCCAAAACATTTTGTAGAGCTTAAAAAACGAATGATTTACTGTATATCAAAACATTTTTGTACGTTTAAAAATTACAAAGGAATGTTAAATAAAACTATAAATTTAAAATTCCCATGTAACTCTTGTAAGAATAACTTAATTTGACTTTTTAAACAATAAGCAGTTGTCGTTTGCTTATATATGAATATTGTTTAATAACAACAAGGGATAAATTTTCTGATTTATTTACTTCATACTTCTAGGCTATTAACATTTCATTGAAAACTCACACTTTATTACCGTTCCTATAGCAGGAAACTAATCAAGTTAAATAAAAAGATTTATTTAACTTATGTTATTGAAATATGGAATGAATCTGATAGTTTTAAGGAATCATTTGAGTGAAAATCCTATCAGGCAAATGGAAATTGGCCTAGTCTGCAGGTTTTCTGCAGCAGAGGTAGTTATCATTACACTCTGCATTATCTCTG